ATGGTTCTAAAACTATGCCGAGGCCTAACCTGCTTCCAACGACTTCATTGCTTCCAGAAGTCGAAGATTTCTAAAAACCAGTATAATTAAACATGTTTGTTGTTAGCAAATATTTGTAGATCTAGTCGTTTTTGTTTCGAGCAAAAGATTTTCTCTGGGCTGAATAAATATCACCTTAAAATTGCAAGTATATGCTAGCCGTTAATTTCCCACCAACCTATTACCTGGAAAACATCTCAGCTTCAAAGATGGCAATTAACACATTCGGGACGGTGCTATTTTTTCGATAGGTGCCGATAAACTACCGGCAACTAAAGCAGTTAATACTTTTAGGAACCGACTTTCACTTAGCATCGATAGAAATAATCAGTGCATTGTCTGACGCCATCATAGCACAGTGAGAGTGTCTGTCATTGGGTTTTTCCGACTATTATGGTGAAGTTACTGAGTGAAAATTTAGACGAATTTCCAATTCAATAATAGCTGATGCATTAATATACGACAGTACTCTGAATGATAGTAGTGAAAATAACTCAGTAGAAATGATTCTTAGCTGTCTGCGGCTCCTTCGGAAATTGTCCCACTTCAGCTGTCCTCTTAAGGCTTAGAGGAACTGGGTGCATTGCTACAGAATTCGCCCACTGGTAAACTTTCTCATGAGCTCTCCAGGTCGACGATGTGAGCAGTGCTTTCGGTGATCATCGCGTGATTCGAATGGCCGAAATTTCGAAGTCGCAGGCTGGATCCAACCAACTTCGAAGACCACAATTGTTTCGTAAAATACCGGCTGGTTGAAAAACGGCGGCTGCTTCTGTTGGCATTAATCTCACAATTAAGTTTTTCAATAAAATTTATTCCAAACATCGTCGAAGGACATCATTTTAGAGATGATTTCTTGCTTGATTATTTGACATGCAATCTTTTCCTTCTAGCGCTTACAATGATTTAATGTTGGTTGCAAAGATGGTCCCAACTTATGGAAATCATAGTGTTCACTTCAAGACTTCAAAGTTGGGCACAAAAAAATGTGCTCCAAGTGTGTTGACAGCTACTAGTGAAGTAAATAATGGGAGCTGATCGTTTGAATACTACTCGAAAGGTTGTGGAAGAACTTATTGTTATCCATGCAACAATAGATGGTGATTTGGTGGAAATTCACATGAACGAACTTCCTTGTGTACTTGTTCTACGGCAGCCATCCTCTATAGATGAGTACTGGAGAATGGGATTGCTCCACTCTAGAGGTGCTACACCCCAGAAGATTCGAATGAATGAGACTATGAGGATCCCCATCACAAGAATGGACTGCTGCGGAGAATTAACTCGGATTACTCAAGCCCTGAAGATGGTCCAAACATCGAAGCGTCATCGGAATAAAAGTTTTATAAAAGCTTCATATTAGCTTGTTACTGAATAAAAACGTTTAGAAGAATTATGTTCGATAGCGCTGAGTGAAATTTTATTCTGCTTCCACAGCCACCAGAATTCCGACACGTGTTAACGAATAATGAATTGCCCAGTCAAAAATTGAAGCTTCGTCGCAGTTGAGCTAATTTTCCAAGGTTTCTAGGAAAAAGAACCAAGAACTATTTTACTACAAACCATTAAAAAAAAAGCTCTCAGCGTTTATCAATCCCTGAGGGATGCGCCAAGTACTCGACTTCATTAAGTATCGTTGGAGATGATTGAATGCATATCTGGCCTTTACAATGACTCGCAGTGGCTTACCGATGTATCGAGCCAGTGCTGCTATCCTCCCACACAAGTCTGGTACCAATTTGGCGATCCTGGAGGAATGGAAGGCTTGGTGGGCCATGGGCGCGGGGATCGATTCGACGTTGTGTCGCAGTGGCGCCTCCAACCACTGCGCCACACGCGCCTTTCTATAAGCCATTACTCATAATAATAGTCGAGACTTCTTTAGTACAAACATCAGTCAGTCGTTGCGCATGGGATCACGCCCACTTTAGTACCCCTCCTCATCAGCGATGATCTCTGCGATACACCTTCTGCAGGAGATTGAAGTCAAACAATGAAGATGTCTATAAAGCAGTTTTTTGTGAGACCTTAGGTATAAAAAAAAGTTCTCTATTGGCTCTTTAGCTCTCTGACTTTCGCACAAGGTCTTTTATGAATCCGAAGGCCATAGGAGGATAGACCTGTGCGGCGAAATAGGCAGCCCAAAAGAGATTGAGTAATACTTACCTCAACACGGTATCAATGTTCTTATTGTATCACAGATTGGTCAGACAAATAAATCCTCAAAATCTAGTTTAAACGTTATTCTGTGTCTAATTAGTTCATGGAACACTTCCCTAGTTGTTCTTTGGAAAATCAGGTGAAACAACTTCCAAAATCTGAACTACAACCCAGATTCGGACCATCGTACAAGCTGAAAGAAACGCAAAACAAGGGCCTCAGTGGTGCAGTGGGTAACATGTGACCGCCCAAAGAAGGCTGTCACGGATTCGAATCTGTCCTGCAGGTGAACTTTTGCACATGTTTCAGCATCATTGCAATTGTAATTTCCTAATTAATCTTTTGCAATCGAAATAAACAAAAGAATCGAGTGGTGCGCTGATTGTGATGCTGTTCAGCACGAGTAATCAATCCACTGGCTGCACTCTGCGCCGAGCTCAATAAGCCTTCCACCCCTCAGGGGTTAGAAAAACTGTAGCAGCCTCATCTGGGCTCAGTTAGCAATCTCAAGTCAACAAAAATGACGGCGATTGTCTGTAGTGAATAATAGATTTGGAATGCCTAAGCAAATTATCCTAAGTGTCAAGGAAAAGTAAACTGATCAGCACGCTACAACATTTGCAAAAAAGACTGGAAATCAAAGAGCACCAGATGAACTCAAAAATTCGAAGACTCGTGGGTGACTAATAAGAAGAAAAGAATCGAATGTAAGAAACACTGAGACCAATGCAAGATGTGATCTTCGGTAGCGGAAGGAAAATAAATAATGTTGGGAAACGACCATAGTCCAAAGGATCATGGTTGAGGGGATTGATAATTACTTACCTACCTGAATACTTGGATGTCGCATCTTCACTGGTTGTGCGGACCCACCAGAATTCCCATTTTTTTGAGGTCATGCTGGCATAGTCATTGTGGTTCCTTAGAGACCCGAGGTCACCCTAGCCAAATTCTGCCCCAGATATTCACCACCACAGATAGTGGCCAACCTTGTCGATCAGAGGGAGATTATCTATAATGCAACTAGTTTGATACCAGGACAGTGATTGATCCTGGCGGTGTGACAGAATAAAGTACTATAACTACCTTTAAGCACTTTTTTGTTCCCTTAATAATCGAATAAACGCAGTGAGCGGCCAAGCCACTAAGGTTTCTAATCTTCTCCAGATTGTCTTTCCGTGGAATCCGTAATGAGATTTGTCGCAGTAAACAGTAAAGTTAGTCCATTTTACAATTTTCTGCTATTTGGCGGTTATTAGTCTTGCAAATAAAGTTCAGTTGTTACAATCGAAAAGTGTTTTACTTACTTGGTGCTTAAACGGCCCGTCAACACTAGTTGTGCGGGCCCCAGCATAACCACCATTTTTCGAAGATTTGCTGGTTAAGCCATTGTGGTTCCCTGGAATCCCGAGGATAGCCTGGCCAAAGTCTGCCCCAGGTCGTCACCACGACAGGCGGTCACAGTCCTTGTGGATCAGAAGGAGATTTGCCACCATGCGACTTTGATACCAGGACGGTGGTGGATCCTGGTACTAGTTTACTCTTAGCTAGGCTTTCTGATGGAAACGCTGGTCTCCTTCCCAGCTTGGGAGACCCTGCCGTGGGACGAATCCCCCGCTGTACATCGCAGCTCGACACCCAGGAACACTTCCCAGCCACGATGAGGCGATAAACCGTTGGGAGGCGGAGAAGCGTGCTATGCACTAATTTCTCTCACGCATTTCGATTCCACTTTTTATTTTTTACGTCCTTCTTAATCAGCCGTCCGTATGGGCAATTTGAAACCCATGCCTAACCTGACTTTTCCTATGAATCAAAACGGATGTCTATCAAATTTTCTTCGTTGCCGTAAAACAATTTACTCTTCTTCTCTCTTAAGCAACCTCGATTTTCCTTGGTGAAATGTGGCCAATTTCGTAATCCTTAGAGTCCAGCACTGTTGACCTTCACCACTTCTTTATAGTATTCCTCCAAAAATTTCCTTCTTTTCATAGCTTTTAATCCACATCTTCTATCGCCGGCGTGGTGGCAGCCAAAAATCTGATTGGGGCTGTACTGGGCTTGTATCGCGCTCTAAGCAAACGCTCTTTGCATTGCGGTGGTTTTGTTTTCGTGCATTTTAGACAAGTTTTGTGATATATGAATTTAGTTATTTACTTTTGTTTTTCTATTTAAAATACATTTGTTATTATGTTCATGAGGCTTTAATAGTGTGTGAAGTAAGTTTTGTAACGTACGAATTGTTTTCAATGCGTCTTGTTTGATATCAACTGGTCTCTAGGATTCCGTTACGATCTTTTTCTAAATATTTCGGGATATTCTAGGCATTTCACTTTATTACGTTTGTTTTAGTGGTATTTGCCTCATATCTTGAATTTCTGAACTCTGTGCTTAAGTGAAGTTTCCTCTAATCCAATACTTTGAGGATCTGACAGCATTTATTTCACCAGGAATGGGTAAAGATCAATATCGTGATTCCTATTTGGCGCGGAAAGTGTCAGTGATTTTACCACGATGAACTTGCTATTAACCTTGGCATTGATCGAATAATTCTTTGTATTCTGGTTGAGCAAACAAGAGGTGTTATTTTATTTTTTATTACGACGAAGCTCACGTTTCGGCGAATTTCGCCTTCCTAAGAGCATGGGAAGGCCAAGTTAACCGCAATCAACCCAGCCAAACACCTCTATAACCATGCAAATAAGCTGATAAAGCAGTATTTCAATTAGGATATAAAGAATTAGGTGATCTTTGTTGGTAAATCATTCGATTGTTGAGGTCCTGTCGGTTTCTCGTTTTAGCGTTGGAGTCAAATTTCTCCCGGGTAGTAGTGATTTTATGCGACAAGCGGCACATATTCGTGTCACAAACAATCAGCTTTACGAGGATGTTCCGGGCCAATGGATTCCTGCACAATGTGGACCTCTTGATCGGCGTCTGGTAAGACTTTAGCATTCCTCCAACTTATCGTGTTTTTTCCCACATTGTTTATTTTTACAGGGAACGTTGTCAAAAACTGGTCTGTGCAAGACTTGTGAATGTAATTTAAATGATTGTTCTGGTCATTTTGGCTATATCGATCTCGAGTTTCCAGTTTTCCATGTAGGATTTTTCAAGCTAACTATTCAAGTACTACAGTGCATATGCAAGGTAAGGGAGATACGAACCGGACATAAATCGTTTCGTGTTGCTAATGCGACTATATTTGACCTGTACTTTTTAAAATATTCATTTACGTAGTATTAGGCATTAAATAAAAAGTTAACATTGTGATTTCGACTGCGGCCCCAGCTTAACTGGGTTCAATGCCGATTTGGACTCAATCCCAGATCAATCCCGTTCACAGATGATTGCTGATGGCAGTGATCGATAGAAGTAGCTGAGAGACAGGCAAAACGAAGGACCAGGATGTTGTGGTGGTGAAGTGCGCTGCTCCTCGGTAAGGACAACAGCGCGTGTTCGTTTCCCACCGCATACACCTGTGGTCTAGTTTTTTGCAAATATCTCAGCATCATTGTGGTTAATCTCGCGTAATACCCTGCCGTGAAAATTGTAGTAGGCAGTTAATAGAGGAAGTTAATATTCCTTTATTTCAGAGTTGTTCGGCTCTGCTCCTAAGCGAAGAACAGCGTGCCCACTTTCTTAAACAAATTTCTAGTCCACATTTGGATTATTTACGTCGGAAGGATCTTCATAAAACTATAATTGCTTGCTGCAAAAAGAAAACCTTATGCCCGACTTGTGGTCATCGCAATGGTACGGTTCCAGTGCCTTAGTTCACCGTTGTGCCTTTTTCTGGAAGAATTTTATTGAACTTTAAAGTTTAGGCATGGTAAAGAAGGCTGTGGGTGCTCTGCTAAAAATCGTCTATGCCAGCAGTATCAGTGAAGATGCGGTTCGTTTTATCCAATTCATCCATTTTTTCGTTTTCGTTCTTCCTTCCTTTTCTTTATCTACTCATTAGCAGTAATTTTTAGACACGATATTATTCAACTGCTCTGAATGCGAACTCCGAACTCGCATCTGCTTTGCTGAAATCCAAATTTTTCCTTTTAAATCCTCTTCGTGTTCAGAAATTATTCAACAGTGTTTCACAAGATGTAGGTATATTAACCAATAGTTTACCTGCAAGGTACTTGCAAGGTAGCCTTTGACTTCCATACTATATTTTGGATCATTAGGATATCCCAATTTTAATGGTGCGATCTGGTGAACTCAAACACCCAAACGATCTGCTCTTGACTCGTATCCCAGTCCCACCAGTATGCCTACGTCCTTCCGTTATTTCAGGTTAGCTCGATGGTTAACGTTACATATGTAGCGGATACAATTCCGACTACCTCACTGTACTAGTAAAGGATTTATGTTTATACTCAATTCGAGGCACTTCTTCCTTGTTAAGAAACAAAGGCTGGAACAACTGAAGATGACATTACTATAAAGCTATCCGAAATCATCCTGATTAACGAAGTGTTACAAAAGCATAAGAAGGAGGGAGCTTCAGTGAAAAATGTGGTAGAAACTTGGGATCATCTTCAGGTAATACATTTTTGCTTTATGGCCACAACCCATATTACAAATGTTTTTTAGATACAAGTTGCATTGTATTTCAATAGTGAGCTATCTGGGTTGCCTCCAGAGTTGCAACCTACAAAGGTAAGTCACCCTTATTTTCTTTTCATGTCTTGAGTGTTTTGAATAGCACAATCTCCAGCCTATTCGAAGTTTCACTCAAAGGCTGAAAGGCAAACAAGGTCGATTTCGTGGAAACTTGTCTGGAAAACGAGTGGATTTTTCTGGGAGAACGGTATCGCTATGAGAGTATTAAGACATCTGTTGTCGTTTTATCGTTATGAGTCCCTTTTTTCATATAGGTAATTTCACCTGATCCAAATCTGCGAATTGATGAGGTTGGAGTGCCAATCGATATTGCTATCAACTTGACATTTCCTGAGATGGTCAATGACCACAACATTGATCGCTTGCAGAAACTTATAATGGCCGGTTCCAATTCTCATCCTGGTGCCAATTACGTAGTGGATCGAGTCAATGGAAATAGACGCTCGCTCAAGTACATTGTCTGCTCTATAATCTATCCTTTTTGGTTATTTTCGAGTTATTGTTTTCTTCCAATGAAATGTTTCGTTTGGTTAAAATTAACTATATCATTAGTGCTATACTTTTCTTCAATTAATTGAAAACAACACTTGCTTTCGTAATCCTTTGCTTTTAGATACGCCAACCTGGAAATGTGTGTGAGAAAATTGAAGCGTGGCGACGTAGTTGAGCGACATCTGGATGATGGTGATATTGTATTGTTTAACCGACAACCATCACTTCATAAAGTGTCAATAATGAGTCATCGTGCTAAGATCATGCCTGGAAAGACGTTTAGGTAGGTTAACACCACAATATGCCAATTCGTGTCTCATTTTCTATTGATTCGTCTTTTGCGTTTAGGCTTAACGAGTGTGTATGCACACCATACAATGCGGATTTCGATGGGGACGAGATGAATCTGCATGTGCCACAGACTTATGAAGCAAGAGCCGAAGCAAGTATTCTCATGGGGGTGAAAAGCAATTTGATCACTCCAAGGTCTGGTGAACCTCTGATTGCCGCTATTCAGGTACAAAATTTGCTGTAGATCTCGCGACGTGATTTTTTATAGCATTAATTTTTTGAAGAACTTTAGGATTTTATCACTGGTGCATACTTGTTGACACACAAGGATACTTTTCTAACTATTAGTGAGGTCAGTAGTAATAACGAGGATTTGGTGTTGGAATTCTAAAAATGATATAGTTGCGCTTAGGTCTCTCGACTAGCAGCATCCGTTATCGACTGCTGTGCCGTGAATCAGACGCGTATTAGATTGCCAACACCGGCCATTTTAAAACCAGCAAAACTATGGACAGGAAAGCAGGTTGGGCTATTTTGCGGAGCTGTTTATGTGGTTGTATGAAGAGGGCGTGTGGCGCAGTGTTCGTAACCGCCCTACAACGCACATTGGATCGTTCTCCGCGCCCAAGGTCCACCATGCCTTTTGTTCTTCCGAGGTCGGAAAACTGATACCAGACTTGTCTGGGAAAATAGCAGCACTGGCTCGATACATCGGTAGGCCACGCCGAGTCATTTTAAAGGCCCGATAAACATTCAATCACCTCCGAAAGATGTTCAGTCAGTTCGAATGCATGGCTTATCCCTCAAGGATTGATCAACACCGAAAGCTTCTCTTATAATCTTAGTTTTTTTTTGTTCAGATAATGGAAGTCATTATATCGGATGACGGTAAAAATCTTACAAAACTCAATTTGTCAACTCCAAATAAAAGCTACACAGCTAACCGAGAATTCTGTTCCAAGGTGACTTGCTCCATCCCTCTTTTGACTGCTTGTTATCTCATCTTTTTTAAGGATTCTTTTGTTATTTTCCGAAATGGGCACCTTATCTCTGGTGTACTGGACAAGTCATTATTGGGTTCTGGTTCGAAGACTAATATCTTCCATATTTTGCTCCGGGATTTCGGTGAAAATGCTGCTGTGGATGCAATGTGAGACTTTCTTATATATAAAGTGAAACAGGAAATGTCTTATGGCTGGTTTTGAATTCTCTCTTCTGCTGTCGCGGTTTCGTGTTGAAGAAGTTACATCTTATTTATTAATTCAATAGGTGGAGGCTTGCGCGAGTATCAACGGTGTTTCTTTCAAATCGTGGATTCTCTATTGGAATCGGCGACGTGCAACCCAGTGATCGATTGCTCAAAGAGAAGCTGGATCTTTTGAAGGAAGGTGAGGTGATTTGGTAATTTCATTTCTTCTTCACCTCTATGCTGTTGCATTTTAGGATATAAGAATTGCCATGAATATATTAACCAGCTGAAATCTGGTCAACTCAAGGCTCAACCTGGTTGCACCGACGAGGAAACACTCGAAGCGTTGATTCTGCGCGAGTTATCCTCTATTCGAGATAGAGCCGGTAAAACTTGCGTGCGAAATTTGTCGAGGTATGTATTTTAGTATTCATTGCATACAGTTCCGTTCATGTGTGTGAGGAATGTTACCTCCTCTTTTTCCGACATAATGCCGCGTTGACTATGGCCGTTTGTGGATCAAAAGGATCGTTTATTAATATTTCGCAAATGGTCGCATGCGTTGGTCAACAAGCTATTTCCGGTCATCGTCCTCCGGATGGATTTGATGTCTGTTTTATTGACAAGGCCAAAATAGGTTCTGGTCATTCCTACTTTTTGTTTAGAAACGCTCCCTTCCTCACTTTGAGAAAATGCAAAAAACACCTGAAGCGAAAGGATTTGTGGAGAACAGCTTCTATTCTGGTCTAACACCGACTGAGTTCTTCTTCCACAGCATGGGTGGTAGGTGTCGATTTCTTTCTATTATCTTGGTTGCACCTGCATTTTAGCCGTTTCCACGGTTTTCCAGGTCGCGAAGGACTAGTTGATACCGCTGTGAAAACTGCAGAAACCGGTTACATGCAGCGTCGTTTGGTGAAATGTCTGGAGGTTGGTTCAAAAGTTAAAAATGCTGTTAAAACGGTCAGACTCAGTATTCAGGATCTTTGTGCAAGTTACGACGGCACTGTGCGATCTTCTAGTGGAGAGATTATCCAATTTGTTTTTGGCGATGATGGGCTAGGTTAGAATTATATGAAAGTAGTGTTCTTCCATTGTATGTTTTGCAACAAAAGACGTCCAAATCTATGAAAGTCGAAGCTCACCAAACCTTTAATGTTCCAGATCCAGCGTTAATGGAGGCAAAGAATGGCTCAGTAATAGACTTTGCACATCAGTTGGAGCATATTCGCAATATTCTTTCTTTTAATTTTAATGGTGGAGAAGAATTGGACGAATCTGACATGGAGGTGTGGTTTCAGTTGCTAGATAAGGAAGTGTTTGTCGTGAGAATCTGTGCATTTTTCATGTTGGTAAATCCCTACACATTATTTTGGTGTGTGATTTTCCATTTTTTGAATTTTATTTTACTTTATCCGTTTTCACATTTACTATGCGGATCCCAGCACTTCTCACATCCAATTCGTCTCCTCGTATACGTTGTCCACGAGGGTCTTCCGAGTTTTTACGTGTAGCTTCGGTTGATGCTTGAGGATTTTCATTTCATCTTGAATTTCGTAGAATGTTGGTCGAGCAATTCTCCTTGTAGTCCTGAGATAGCCCGGCTGGATCGTTCCCAATTCGATTGCAGCGAGTGGTTTTTTTCTCAGACAACTCTGCTACCAGTTCCACGCCCCGGAGGAATGAGAGGCTTGGTTGGCCCGGTGTGGAATTTAACTAGCATCATGCTCTCGATGACGGTCTTCACTACCGCTGTGTTATCCGCCCCTACAGACGTCCTATTTAACTTCCTTCTTATTTTCACTTTCAAAACATTACGCCTTTCTCGTTAAGATTTCGTGATAGTGATGTCTAATTTTATAATCTTACCACTGTTGGAAATATAATAATACTTTTTGAAAATGTGCAATGTCTAATGTGTTTCTTACAGTCTTTGTCAAAAGCAATTATCGATAATGAAATTGGTACCTCTCATCCGTTGTTCCGCTCTCAGCTGGAGACTTTTGTCAAGAATGTTATCAGCAAAACTTCAGCAACTTACAAGATTCCACGTTTTTGCAAGAGCCATCCTAATGGGTCTGTTCATTTGTCGCCTGTTTTGATGTTCCTTGTATCCTATTAACTATTCTTTTTTCGATTTGCTGAGTAAAACAAAATTTCCAGGATTCCTCCTAATCGAAAAGGTTTATGTGCGCAATGTCTTAGTCAGCAGAAGTATCGGTGAGTCTCAAACGTTTCGCATAGAAGATCAAAGAAATTTAGCTAATTGATTGCACTTCAATATGCTTCGTTAGGTTTCTTTTGCGGTTTTTTATATGTTTAGAAGCTCACAAGTACAATCGTTCTGTGTTTCACATTCACAGTTTGTGACATTTCTTGAAACCTGCTGCAACAAGATAAAAAAGGCCGTCGTTGATCCTGGAACAGCAGTGGGGGCCGTAGCAGCGACTAGCATCGGTTCGATGATTTTTGTATCCTAATCTTTTTCTGTATTTTGAAGACTGTCACTTTTTGCAACAAGGTTATTTCTGTATTTGAACCGTTCTCATTAGGTGAACCATCCACCCAAATGACGTTGAAGACATTCCATTTCGCTGGTGTTGCTTCCATGAATATTACGCAGGGAGTTCCACGTATTAAGGAAATAATTAATGCTGTTCAGTCTGTGAGTTACTATGAATAAGTTCTAATTTCCCGTACAATGCGAAAATTCTTGTTTAGATCTCAACACCAATTATTACGGCGAAATTGACGGACGGGCATAGTGAGAAGCTAGCTCGCCAGGTGAAAGCACGCATAGATGTAACACTGCTAGGTTTGTTTTATAAGGAAACATTTGTGGCACACCACTTTTTCCTGAATGTAGATTATGAATAGTTCATTTGGAAATTCCGTCGACACTTCGCTTCCAGGTGAGATATGTGAATACATTGAGGAGATCATTTTGCCCGATGATGTTTTTTTGCTTTTGAAATTGAGCACAAGACGAATTAGGCTTCTTCACTTGGAGGTAAATTGATATAAAGCCAAAATCTTAAACAGCAGGTATTGATCTTCTATTCTGTTCTGTTCTGTTTTTAGGTTACCATGTCCTCTATTGTGCAAAGTATTCTTTCGATGAAACATTATACTACTTTCAAGCCATCGCAGGTAAACTAAAAGCCGTAGAGTATCAATTTTGGCTGTGAAATCTTTGAATTGGTGTTTGCCCAGATTACAACAGTCGGTAAGTCAATGATGGTGATACGTCCACCGGCTGGTTCGAAATTCAGTAAATCCGTCACACTACAAATTATGAAACAGGCTCTGCAAAAGGTAGTTGTTAAAGGTATGCAATTCACTGTTTAAAATCTTTACTTTCTTGTAAAAATCGAAGTCAGTACATATTTTTACTGTAGTTCGTCAGGATTTATTTGTAGATTGCAGAAAATCCAACCTAGGTCTGCCCAATGTCAAACGCTGCGTGATTAATGCTGACGAGAAGAGTGGAGATGAATTCAGTATTGTTGTTGAAGGCAGTGATTTTCGTGGTGTACTATCTCAGCCAGGCATTGACGGTCGTTTTACAAATTTCAATAATGCCATCGTTGTATCACAGGTCCTTTTTATTAAACCCAAGTCGTATTATTGTTGAATGAACATTTTTTGTGTTAAAGGTTCTTGGTATTGAAGCTGCTAGATCGTCCATTATCAATGAAATCATAGCCACTATGGAGGCTCATGGTATCATGCTTGACAGAAGGCATGTTATGTTGTTAGCTGACGTCATGACATATCGGTAGGTTTTTGCGTCATATGCTCTTTCAACTGTATTGAGCTTACTGTTGTTCAGTTGTCTATGTTTAGGGGCGAAGTGCTAGGAATTACACGCAATGGTTTAGTAAAGATGAAGGAGTCCGTCTTACTTCTGGCTTCGTTCGAAAAAACTATGGATCATCTTTTTGAGGCCGCATTTTATTCTCAAACAGATCCAGTAAGTCTTTATTACTTTACCGAACAGCTTCTTTATTCGCATACCTCTTGTCTTAAATTTATTGCGAGCTTTTCCACCATTGTTTGAACGGTTTAAAATGGTGTTTTTCTCATACATGGTTCAGGTATATGGTGTTTCTGAGAGTATCATTCTCGGCACCCCGTTGTCGATTGGGACTGGTCTGTTCAAACTACACCAAAAACTAGCACGGCCTGTTGATCTCCCTCTAAGGGCGCCAATTTTTATGAAAGAAAAATTTGGCTTGGAAGTATAGAACGGCTGAGGAATGTCTTTTTGGCGCGGGGCTTTTTTCTTCCATTTTCTCATTGACTTGTAGGGTTTGAAGACAGAACGCGTTGCTTTGAAAATTTTTAGCCTGAATATTTATAGTTCTACATGTATGTTATTATTATGATTATGATGGATGTTAGATGTTATGTAACGTAGAATGAGATTAGAAGTGAACTGCCCTTAGGTGCAGGAAAAAAATTGTAAATGTTGTCGTGTTTAGTATATGTTTCTCAGTTGTTTTGACTTTTGTTAATGTTTTCTTTTTTTTTTGATAGTATGTACCAGTATATATGAGCTTGTTGGTCGTTATGTTTATATTTTACTTGTTGGAATTCCGTATTGTTAAATAAATTTGTCATTCTCTACTTTGGTGGACCTTGGAGCTGTCGTTGTTCCTGCTATCAATATTCTTGTTACTTTACGCTTGTGATGTATTGGTTGATTGATTGGCAGTGTTTACTACTCTGTTATGCACTGATCACACTCAGAGTGATCTCAGTTCATCTTATTTTCAGCTGTATGGTGAAGACAAAGCAAAAAACCGCTCACCGTTGCTCAATCCCTGAGGGATGCGCTATCCATTCTACTCCATTCATAACATCGTTAGAGGTGATTGAGCGCAGTATCGATCAAGTGCTACTATCCTGATAGGCGGATCTGGTACCAATTTGCCGACCATGGAGAGATGGAGGGCTTGGTGGATCTGGCGCGCGGGGATCGATTTTATGTGTATTGCAGTGCGCCTCAAACAACTGCTCTACATGGGCTCATGTCCTCTAAATATAAGTAGGAAATTAGAGGTGTTATTTGAAGTGGGTAAAAAACCGAAAACGGCTTGAAGGGATGAAGGACCTGGGGAGTTGGGATCGGTCCCATGTATATAAGGACACCTCCGGCCGCTCCGCTACATGCGCTCATGTAGTGAAGATGGTTTTGAATCTTCTAGAGATTGTGGATTCTGTTTTTTTGTTGTTTTGAGTTCCTATGCATTGCTCTGATAACGTCGTTAGTTAAGTCTGTGTTGTGTCTCGTATATAAAGTCTCATTACTGCAAGCGTGTGTTCGTTTTGCGGATCTTGTGTTGTTTACAGGAAATCTGAGTGGGTCTGCGGTAGGCCCACTCAATGCAGACTTTGTCAGAGACGCTGCTCATCTTGTTGCAATTATTTATTGTTTACTACGTTATCTGTGTACTTCTTGGTGCGCCAGTATTCACGGAACTATATTCAACAAGCTGTCTCTCCCTTTGGCTGGCATTGATCACTGGTATACCGCTTTCACTTGTCTATAGAGGAGAGAGACATATCCGAGCATTTTTGTTAGAAGCTAGGTGAGGTGTGAGGAAGAAGTTCTATTTTAATACCTAATTTCTCTCGTAAGTGTTTTTTTCCAGTTGTTCTTATGCTGCCCTCTTAGTCGTTGTTCATTATATGGTGGAATTTTCAGGTGCTACAGTCTTTTGGAGCTAATTGCTCATCGAGCAATCATTGGTGCTGTAGTAGGAGCTTGGTTAGGTGCTTTCGTTATTCCGCTTGACTGGGATAGGTGGTGGCAGGTGCGGTCAAATAGTTTAAGCAGCATTAACTTTTTATTTACTGCCTACTACAGTTTTTGACGGCAAAGTATTATGTGTGATACAACCAAAATGATGCTGACATATTTGCAGAACTCCGGATCGCAGGGTATCTGCGGTGGTGATCGAGCACGCTTCTACCGTTTTCGGAAGCTAACGTGTTCACCACCACACCATTTGGGTCTTTCATGTGGTGATGAACACGTTAGCTCTCGCAAAGGGTAAAAACGTGTTCGGTCCCCACCGCAGATACCCTGCGGTCTGCAGTTTTGCAAATATCTCAACACCGTTGTGGTTGTGGTTCAAGCAGTGTTTTTTTGTTAACAATATAAACTTTACAGCGTTATCCGTTTCCGAATTTTGTGGGGTCCGTGTGTGGTTGCGCAGTAGGCCTGCTCGTCGCACAACTGCACTGGCTTGTTCGCCGTTTTCGGCGCAAACAACTGCTCAAGGTTACTTTGTTTTTCTAACTTCGTTTAGCAGCTTACGTTTAGGTTTCAGCTGTTGTGCCGCAGCATATACGCGACGTAATAACCTCATATGAAATAATATTGCACAAAAATATTGGCTGTAACTTTAGACCGACGTATCTGAGCTGAATGTGAACTTCTTTGCTTAGCAAGACTGATTTGAGGGATGTAAATCTTGTTTTCATGAAAGAAGTTCTCTTTTTCTATCACGATCAAGTTCTGATTTCCTGGAGCGCACGAAACGCATTGCTTTGCCTTTTTCTGCAAAGCTCCTGTTTGGGAAACGAAGGCAAAGAACAAGTGGAATTTCATCCAAGAAGAGTAGGGGTGTTTCCCATTTTATCATTGTTTTTGTTCCTCCCATGTGAAAAATTTAGCTACTTTCCAATTCTTTTTCGAGTTGCTATGCTGAGAAGATTTGAAATTGAAATAGTATTTCATAAGAAGCATTTGCACACTTAGTGGTGTAAAACAGAATCTGCTGCATAAGTCTGTAAAGTCTCCAGCTCTTCTACTGCTTTTTTAATAGGGAATTTTTGGTCTTTTACAAAAAACGGCGTTGCGACTATGTTAAATGCTAACTTCTTGTGACTAAGATAATGTAACATAATAAACTAAATAGGGTGGTTTCAGAACCTATGAGTCACTCCTCAGTAACATCTAGGACTGATGGAAATGACATCGACGTGTTACCCCTTGAGGGCTTATTCGGCCAGTATCGCTTTGCAGACGTTCCTAAACTGAAGGCTATTTTTTATGCTGAGTTTGACATTGATATTGGTCCTGTCATACGTTACCAGGTCCGTGTATAACTATCTTGAGAAGATCAAACAACTCCATGAAAAAAGTGGGTGTTTTCAATGAAGCTGATCGAAATCCTGTTTTATAGATTCCGGAAGATCAAGTTGTGGTGTCCCCTGAGCGCTTTTCCGCATTCTCGGCCGCTATTATACCTAAAGACGAAATGTTGAATCGTCTCGTAAAGCTTAATTTTCGAGACTACAAAGTTATGGGACATCCGATAGGTCTTAGTGAGTTCTGTTCAATTATTTAGTCCGTTTTATTCAAGATGGGACATTTTACTACCGTTGTTTGGACATCGTGTTGCTATGTGGTTATGATTTTCGTTTTTTTTTTTTTGCCATGTTTATATTTGTACTTACGAATAATGGGACTTACGATTAAATTCTTGATTTTTCCGATTTTTCATTTTCTTATTTACTTCTGTGAAGTTTCCAGAACATGAAACTTGGTATGCTCGTGGGCAGCTGAATTTTAATATGTGCTTTGTGGTAGCGAAGGAATCAACAATTGACTGCATGTATGAGCCTCTAGTACAGAAATTCGCCGAATACCTTGTTGATTTAGAAATGGTAAAAATTTATTTTACCAATTTATCGTGCAGTTCTAATTTTTCAGAACAAGGAGCAAAAATGTTTTCTTTTTTCATAAAATTCACTTTGTTATGATCACTTTTTAATGCTTTATAAAGGCATCCTTGGCGATAGGAACAGCTTTCAACTAATACATTTTCAAGAATAGCCTAACACATCAACGTTCTTCTAATAATGCCGATTTGTTGTACTTAGACCAATCCCGTTGACGGGTGATTGCTGATGGCGCTGATCGATAGACTTAGCTGAGAGGCAGGCGAAACAAAGGATCCGCATGGTGTGGTGGTAAGCGCATTAATCCCCGGACATGGTAATAGCGCGTTCGTTTCCCACTGCAGACACCTGCGGTCCGGAGTTTTGCAATTATCTTAGTATTATTGTGGTTGTTTCATAGGTTATACTTTGCCAGAAAAATTGTAATTGGCAGTAAATAAAAAGGTTGACATTTTCATCTTCTGTTGAAGTTTTCGATTAAGGTAAACACAGTTGTTAGGATGTCCGGATATTACCGTCAAATTTCAGCCTGTATTTTCAAAATGGCTTGTCTCAGCTCAGTATAAACTTGATTAATCGGAATAAAGGCCATTACTACGCATAGTTTTTACCTATAGGAGACAAATATGGTTACTCGGATTTCGTAAAGCTTCTAGAGTCGATGGCTCGTTGAAGGTGATTTCTGCATCGACTTGCTGTCTTAAGAATTTCTTGCGCAGGAAATTATTGCGATACCTGAAGAAGTGCTAGTTGGCATGAGAAAAGAACTCTGGCGATTTTACAGTTTTGCTCTAATAGAGATTATTTTTTCTGGGAGTTTGCAACTCGTTGCTTTTTCGGCTTTCTTCCTCGAGATTCATGCCTATAGCAATTAACCGATTGAAGAAATGGGATGATGATCTATGATGATGCGATGGTGTCCTCGAATATAGCGTTAATGCTTACGGTTTTCACACTTTAAATCTTCAATTACCCAAAAAAGTGTCGATGTTAAAGGTTTAACATATTTGTTAACAAAAATATATCAGCTTATGTTATGAAGTATTAGTCAAAAATGGCATTCACTATAATAAGTAAGACTTTGGTGAAACCAAACGAAGTGAAGCTTGTTTTGACTTCCATTTTCTACCTAATCTTTTTTCATAGCAGCGTGTGATGTCAAATACAACTACAAGGACGCTGAAATATGAGTTAAATTCGGAACCTCCACTGACCTTCGAGCCCGCCATTAGCTTTCGGGGCTCAACTGCTATCCACCACACCAATCGGGGCCCGCGCTTTGTTTTTCCGTCAGCATTGTTCGTTTTTGTTGTTTCCAGGGTTCCTTTGCAGCTCACCAGATTTTCTTTTGTCGGGTTTTTTCTTAATCGGCTTTTGTATCAAGAAGATAAAGCTCTCAGCTATTTTATTTCATAGAACGGGCTAAGATGGTGTACGCAATTCGTACTTGATATTTGCAGAGTTTCCAAAAATAATGATTTCGTTGCTACTTTTCCTGGAAATTTTAATTTTGGTTTGTTGAAATTAAGACATTTTAAAGAAATTATTTATACCCTTAGTGTGACAGGGCGAAAGCTCTCCTATAAATATATGATATTCCGAACGTCTCAAGCATTGAAAGGTAAGTGAAATTGTTGTTCGATCTGGCCCGGGGTCTAAGTTTTGCTAATATCTTTGTATCTTTGTGGTTGATTTCACATAATACCTTGCCGTGAAGGTCGTAGTAGGCAGCAAATAAGAAAGTGAACATTGTGGTCTCAAGCATTCTAGTTTTCAAAAAATCATTACTAACTGTCGAAAAATCAGCATAGTTGTGAATGTATTGGTGTATGATTTAAAATACACTTTTTGTTAAAATTCAGTAAGTTGGTATATTTGTGAAGGAAGGTCTATCTTACTTCCGAATGCGGTAACAGTTAATGTGTCTCCACTTTTTAGGAATGTGGTTTTCTTCATGCGCCTGAAAGTCGATCTCAACTTCCTACAATAATGAATAAAGTGTTCACTGACCTTAATACCTGTGGTTAGTGTTTTCTGGCTTCTTTTATGGATTGTGACCAAAATATTTTGATGGGCATAACCTTCATCCTAGGAGAATGTGTACTTCCTGTTACTGAGTTGACTACTCTTTACTTGAAACTGTGCCCTTCATATAGAGGCGTGGAACCGCCTAAGGTTAGTATCAAGTTCTGTTATATTAGCGACTATAAGGCTGTTCGAATGCTACAGAAATCTTCTTTAAGGTTAATCTGTATATGGTACCAATGTTTATTAGAGCTACGCAGTTGACCCCTGCTGTTATAGATAAAATGGATGTACTGTGTCAAAAGGTGTTTTTTGTTTGTATGATTGACCTGAGATATTGTTGCATAGCAAGTTTAACTGATCACACTTAAGATTATTCCCAAAATTGATGGGATAAGGTGTGTTAAAGAAATCGCAACGGAAGTGGAAATCGACACCGATTTAGTGATGCGCTGTGTTCGGTAAGAACAGTTCAAAACCATCATTAGGTTCAGATATTCTCATCTAAATTGGTCATTCAGGAATCTTCATTTTTATGAGTGTGTCAGTTTGGTGCCGTTGTTTTTGTATTCGAACACATATGTGGCTACGGAGAAACTCCATGATTTCTACACTAATCCTTGTGAAATCGAGGTATTCAACACTTCTCCTGAATTTAGTTTATAATCGATTACTAGTTGTTATTGGATATGTCTTAGATTCTCAGGTTTTTAAGACGAATCTACTATGTATAGCCCTTATCGTATGTGTCTTCCTTTGTATCAATGTTTTCTTGGTAGAAGTGTATTTGGGTAGGTATTTCTATTTCGCTATATTAAGCTTTACCGTTTTTCAAGTTCTGCTTAAGTATCATTATTTAATGAGTAACGAAGATTCTCTATGGATTTATTTCATGCTAGCGATCTTCTGTCGCTTATTCGGTTACGGTGTACCTAGGTGGGGATACGGGACTGTAAAATCGATGTAGCATTTATCCCGAATCGCAGGTGGCTAGAAAGGATAAAAGACCTTTCTGTGCTGCAAGATTGTCTTTATCTTCTTTATACATGTGGTCATGTTCATTCAAATATGCGCTGGTGTCCTTGTATCTATGCGGATTATATCTGGGCGTGTTGATTCGGCCAGAGGCTATAAATTAACTAACTGGAAAATGCGTGTTGAAAAAAGTGAGGCAGGGCATGTTCGTCTCCAAAACTGCGTCGGCTTAGTTTTAACCCTTTAAGATATACTTGGGTATTCTTTCGCTTCTAACGGTAATAACAGAGAGATACAAAAACTGGAGTTCTTTTGTTGCTCAAGTCATCTAGTGATTGACGGGAACAAAGGTAATATGACTGATAGAATTCATCTGTAATGCTTTCTCAAAATTTCAAGTTGTAGAAGAACAGAGGTTCAGCCGTCCATAATACTGCACGTCACTGAATCATTACATTGACTCTGTCGCACAAACCTATGCCATTACTTGGTTCGTAAGAATAGTTTCTGGGGAGATATTCATTTTTAATATGCCAGGAAGTTTATTTTGGGGACAGGAACTTATTCCTTTCATGTGTGTTTGTGTGTTTTTAGAGTAATTCATAATGCTAACCCCGTCATGGTTGTAACACTTACCTCGTATGACGAAATACTCGAAATGCTGCACCTATACCCCTCCCCCCCCTCTTCCCGACTTACTTAGGGGCCATGTAGAGATTTTTGTTAGCTCTTTTAAAAAAATCTTGTAATATGTAACAAGTTTAAAAGGTAGCTGAAAAACGTATCGACAAATTGTAAAGAAAAAAACATTGAATAAGATTGATCTACAGTAAGTGACTGGTCGACTTATCCACACGTTTAGCTTAATGCTGATTGATCGTTTTGCAGTTCAACTTTCATGGTGCTTCTTACGTGAATCAACGTTTCCTTGGTTGCAAGTTGTACGGATGTGTCCACTCGTTGATGTTTACCTCATTGTTGCGGTTCTTTAATTTGGATTTCTTAGTTCCTCCTTCGTTTTGAGGTATGGTATTGTCCAATTCCAATGGTACTAATAGATTGGTAGGTCTCCGAATTTTGCAATGCGATGGGAAGAACAATCATTGCTTCGCGTACAACTCCTTCTGAGTTGATCAGAAGTTCTTCGATGCTTCCTATTTTCTATTTTCCGCATGAATCTAAGTTGCATAGGATCGTTGTTCAGTACCATATTATCTTTTTTGGGGAGTGGTTTGAATACTGCGTTTTATTTGTTCCGAACTGGTGTCTTTCTCGTAGCGATGTCAAATGTTGAGTTCACCACAAGTGCCAAAACCCATCCATCCGTAAGTTTACAGGATGATTGTAAGGCTTGTACAACTTGCTATTTGGTCTTTCGGAGCGTTTGCTCCTCCTTTGAAATGATAAGGAGGGTCGTTGAAATCTTCATCGCTGTTCTTGAATGCACAGGACACTTCGAATTCATTTTCGATAAGGTCTATTGGTCTTAGTATTTGTCGATCTTCAGAGTGTGCATATAGTAACGGCCTGGTATTTAGCAAGGCTCCGATCTCAATTACGATTGTTGATAAGTACTCGAGTGAAAGTTTTGACGCTCCATTTGTTTTATATAACGGATGTTTCACGCACTGAATCAGTCTTTCATAAAATCCTTGTGAATGGAGTGATGTGCTTCCATTGAAGTTCTCTATTGCTTATTTGTCGTTGGACTACTGGGTCATCTTGAATTGCTTGTCATCCTTCATTAAGGATTGTTTTTTCGGGTACAAACGTTGAAGTGTTGTCACTAATAATAGGTTTCAGAGTTCTACGTCTTGCAAAAAAGCGGCATAAAGCAAAAAAAAAGGCGTAACATCATTATGAAAGCCGTGTTGGAAAGATCTGACACGACATCCAATGTATTAGGCGTGTTGACGAGCATGTGATCATGCATCTATAACATCTATCTTCTCTGTCATCTGATTTGAGAATGGGAATCGGGTCGAAATAGCTTAAACCGCCATGCTCAAACGAACGTGGTCGTTGAACTCTTTGTTCGGGAAGGTGTACTTCTTCAAGATATTTGTATGGCAGATTGTCGAATTTTTGGGAGTGTCGGAGTTTGTGTATTACTTGAGCACGCAATTTGTGGATCCAGTTTCAAGTTTTCGCGTACACGTGCCATCGGGTGTCCTATTCCTGGGTGACCTTCACTGTGACAGTTTTCAATGATGGCTTATGCAAGCCATGCAAGTTCTGCAGGACTGTTAGGGGTTTCTTGCAGCGCCGTCCATGTCACTACGTGCAAAGCATCCAAAGCATCGAAGTAGATCTTCTGTATCTGGTTTGATTTGTAAATTCTTCTTGGACTGCAGTATAGATGGAGTTGTTAATGATAACTGATGTTGTCTAAGCAATATTTTCCCAGCCAGAGTAAGCTCTGCACCAGTTATATTGGAGTCACTGTTTGCCATTACGCTTTCCAGTAAACACTAGAGTTTAAATGGCTTCCTTACTCGGTGCTTTACTCAAGATACAAAAATTTCGAGATAACGAAGAATTCGAGCTATGATTCGCTTGATATTTGGCAATGAATACTTTTCCGAAGTCCTGAAAATGCCTTTGTCATAATGATTGTCTGGCCAATCACGTTTTATCGGAGAGAGTTGCACTTATTCAGGATTGCGTGTCATCTGACTTAGTACCCTTATTGGAATGGAATTCTGTGTTTTCTTGCGATGCCTCTTTATTGAGAAGGAAACTATTGTGTTTCCTCCTTCATATTTCCACGTCTTGGTTAAGAATTGATGGACCAATACACCAAGAATGATTACGTAATTGTTATTGGTTTCATCCGCCGGTTGCGCAGGTCGTAGGGTTATCTTAAGGTGTGATATGGCAGAAATATATTCGGTGTCCGTTTTTTTTCTAGGTGTTGTGCCATCTTCCATATCTCTATTAGTCTATTGAATACTCTTGTTCAAACGTTATTAGACGGTCTATGTTTGATTCAATTTAACACGATTTCCGAATCTGAGAAGATGAAAACGTCGTCTGTTTTAGCTGTTTTCCGTAGCTGTGATAAGACAGCATTATTTGTTCTCTGAGGTAATGTTGCTGCATCTAGTTCCATTTTTGGAATAGTTGATCCGTATTTTACGGAGGCCAATTTGCTTTTTGCCAAGAGTGGATTGGTAGAACTGTCTGAGTGTAGGTACACGCATGTTGCGATGGCGTCGTTGCTGGCATCTGTGAAAGTTGCCAATGTATGCTTTACGTTCTTTGCGCCTAAGCAACATGGAAGTGTCTTTTCGAAGCCATGCATTTCTGATGCGATATTTGCCCATTCGTCTTTACGAGGCTGCGGTAGTGGACTATCCCAGTTGTATTTGTTCTTCCAAAAATCACGAAAGAATACTTTTGCTTATAGTTCCCAGGATCGACTTTCTCTTAACCTCGGCATTGGAATATGAATGTGTCGTTTTCTTGTTCAGCAATCGCGAGGTTTTTAAACAGCATACATTTACTTCCATAAAAACACAATACAATACAACGCTAGCTGACGTTTCGGCAGTATCGCCTTCTTCAGAGCCTGGAAGGGTATACTGATATACAATCTACTAGGCCAAACGCTTCAATAACACTTACACAAAGACGAAAGACTCTTTGGTAATTACACGATCAACAACTTCTCGAAAAACTTTTGCTTATGTAGTAAAGGCATTAGCCATTCTAACGGATCACATATAGATACAGTTATACTTGCGATTGTTCTATTTGTCATCCGTGGTTGTTGTCTGGGATTACACGTAATCGTAATGCAGTCGGTCGATGGATTCTATGGGATTCCTAATACTTTTACTACACCCTCGTCTGCTTTGCCCTTCGCTGAGACTGCTGTTATTAATTCAATGTCATTAGAGGCGAACTGGCCGAGATTCATTTTGAGTTTGTCGAAAATTCGTTTACACGTGGAACGATTCTTCCGAGTTATCGACGGTTAAGATGAGATTATCGACGCACATATTTTCCTTTAATTCTCTTATTAGTTGAGTATGCTCCCTGTACTGATCGAGTTGGAAGTGGATCGATCGTTCCTGATAACAGGACAGGCGATGTGATTAACCCGAAAGTTACGCGAGTAAATCGCAGGATTTTGATGTGGTTCGGTGTAGGTGGCCCTTTGTGATAGTGTAGCGACAAACAGCGCATGTAATCGCGATCGATTTCATGAAGACATACCTGTAAGAGGGCTTTTTCAATATCAGAGGTTATAGCAAAACGTCCGAATCTGAAGCGGAGCAAAATGTCGAACAGTTCAGGAAGGATTACTGGTCCGCGATGAGGAAGATCATGCAGTGATGGACATCCTTTGTAGTGATCGGACGCGTCATAAACCACTCTGATTTTGGTGTTTTATTGGGAATTAGAACTGCTTGATGAGGAATGTAGTGGACTAGAGAAACTTTTGGAACTGTTTCTTTGTCGACTTTTTCTAGAATGTTCAAGCCAAGTTGTTCGGCTAATATATTGTTGTACTCTTCGATCAATTCTTCATTATCCTGTAGGAATCTCGAAACACTATTTGTTCTACTGACAGCTATAGTTTCGTTGTCGGGTAATGTAGTATTGGCTGTCTCTTTCCAGAGGAGACGTTCATAGTATCTGTCTGGTCATTTTCCGATGGTCTCATTAAATTCCTCCCATACTTGTCGGTCGGTTTGTATTCTTATTTCTTTTTGGGAATTGGAAAATTCTTCAGTTCCAGCAGATTCCAGCGTGAAATACTTTTCTCAGTTGTTATTGCCCTCGTCGTCCAATTGCCAAATTAAACCTTCTACTACAGTATATTTCTCCCAATTGACCGATTCATTGTTTTGTTCTTCAAGCGCTAGGTGAGAGCGCTCGTCGGCTCTGTTCGTTATGAGGTAGCCTAGGAGAATTGGTAGATGTAGTTCAGAAGGAAGTATGATGTGCGGTTGGTCGTTTTTCGCTAGGGACCACAGTTGGTTAGAGCCTAATAGTATATAGTGCGTTTCACTTTTAGTTCGTTGTTGGTTAGGTATACTGGAAGGCCACGTTGATGAATAAAGTCTGCATCTTCCGTAGAAATTGGAGAAATAATAAATGGTTTTACCAAGTTATCGTGCGTGGATAACAGCAAAGAGAACGGACGACCTTCGGCGTCCCATACTTTGAGGGAGATTTTATTCGACGGCTTTTCTCGTGCTTCCTCGGATCCGAATGTGCATAAGCGTAGCTTATTTTCCTCTATGATAGGAAGATCCATTTCTGCAGCGAATGATGAGTCAACTAAAGAGAGTTCGGCACCGGTATCCATCAAAACTACTTTTTGAAGTGTTCTTACATTTGTGTTCACCACTGCAATCTCTCCAGTTGGTGAAATGGTAGTTTGCTGCCTTTGCAGATGCGAACTTGCAGACTGAATTTCTACGACAATAGTCTCCTCTGGTGTAGGCTGTTTTTGTTCTTGATTGATGTAGTTGATTTTCGACGTTGGCTTGTACGTCTTAGTCTCCTTAGCGCTAGGTTTCCTGTCTTTAATGATCTTGTTGCTGCTTGGTTCGCTTTTCGAACCATTCTGAAAGCTTTTTTCCTTCCACGTTGATTGGATACAACGTGAAGTATAGTGCCATCTCTGGCATTTGAAGCAAGATGATTTCTTGCAATGAATTGAGTCGCGGTGTGGGGATGCGCAAATGGGGCACAATTTTTTAGTTCGGAGGTATTGTGAGCGCTCCATACAGCGTCTTGTAGATGTCGCAATTGAACGCTTTGTGATCGGCTTTACAATAGATGCAGCAGTACGTCTTGTCGGAGATCCGCGATCTTCTCTTATTCTGCTTGCTGACAACAATTGACATTGACTGGCACTTTGACGTGTACTGCCATACTTTTTCCTACTTGGATGTGACTTCCTCGGTAAATTGTGAGAGTTGTTCCATCTGGAAGGGTTTCTCCATCGCGACGTCATGTTTATTTTCGATGACTTTCCGCTGTATGTTATTAGAAAATTTAGTCAGTATTTTCTTAAACATACATTAATTGTCCACATTTTCACCTTTTGCTTTTAACTGTGTTACTATTAAATGCAAATGTTCGAATAGTTCCCGTTGATCGTGCACCGTAGTGGAACGAAGCCGGCAATTGTCCAGTTTGTTCATGAGTGTTATTTTGAATTTTTCCGAGTCTGCATACTTCTTGGTGAGAAATTCAACGGCTTTAGCATAGTTCTCCTTAGTGAGTTGAAATTTCTTCACCGCATCGAGTGCTTCCCCTTGTAGCGAATTAAGCAAGTAATTGAATTTATATAATTCTGATATGTTCTGGGAATGTACGCTTTGAATAACTCCCAGAAATGATCCCATTCCTAAATGTTACCACCGAAAGTTGGTATCGGGAGTGTGGGTAGTTCGAGACGTGTTGCTGTGGCTATAGTTCGGGGAACTTCGACTGCTTGGATGTCTTTTTGTACCATTGTCGGGGTGTCTTCTCTTCTATGTGAAGTACAAACTCAAAGTTTTTTTATACGACTCTTGAGACTTATTAAATAGTCTTCAGTTGCATCGGTTATTTACTGTGCCTTACTGCAATATACTTCGTTTCCATCTTCACTCTCCAGTTTTGGATTCAGCTCCGAAGACTTTCTTTCGTACTTCTTTAGTGCTTTGATTAGTTTTGCGATAGCTTCTTCGATGTTGAGTACTCCTTCATCTAATCTGTATATGCTGTCACATGTAAAGGTTTTTGTTATCTCTTCATCATCAGATGATGTGCTGAGCATTTCCAGTTGCTCATCTTTGAGACGCGTTAGTATCGTCCAAACCTTTTTACTGCATTACGTAATACGTCGTTTTAAAATTGCGATTGAGCTGGTCACAATGAATTGTAAGCAGTAAATATTTTCATGGAACTAAAAATTGTGAACTCATGAAAACAGTACCCAGCTGAGGTGGTAGCTCTGAAGTTGAATTGCGAGACGTGCTGTTGTTAGGTCTTTTCAAGCGACCAATTCACCATGTAATAAAGAGATAGAGAACTTTTTCACAAGGAAAGTCCTCTGTATCACCATACTTATCTAAGTAATTATGAGACCTTCAAGATGCTACCGAGCTTTAACCTACCAAATTCGTTGATGCGTTTTGGATAAAATTCTGATGTTCATGCTATATAATATAATTTCTAATGTTTAGAGCAACAACATTTTATTTGAAATCGTTTGTTTCCTAAAAGTGACCGCAAATACAAGTATTGCTCCTATGTCCCATTGAGAATTATTTATTTGAAGAAGAATATTCACCAACAACTTGACATACACTCCCGAAAACAGCACGAAAAGTAGCAAAGACGAAAAAAACCATTAAAAAAAATAGTCTTGATATCAGGAACATCTACAAAAGGATACTAGCACAATAACCTTCAAGAGACAATAACTCGATGTTTAATCTGTTGTGGAAGATATTGAATAAAGACGCATGGATTCTGGAACTACCCTATTTATGGCTCGAAGCATACCTGAGGTTCTGAGTTTTGTTAATATCTCGGTATCCTGTGGTTGTACCCTCTTTAGTTTTTATCTTACGTAATTCTATTCATAAGAAGTAAGAGTTTAGCACATTCGCCATGGAGCTGGTTTTTCGACGAATGACGATAATTTATCATCGACAATTAAAGTATTTAAAAAGTTAAGTATCTTATATTTATAGAAAAAACTTCTCCGTTGCCTAAGCAAATATATGTCTTATATGGAACATTTTGAATTTTAAATAGGCCTAGAGTTAGAATTTTTAAAGAACTTGAAAGAAGCTCCGACTTTTTTTGACATTTTCAAAAGCATAGCATAGCATACTGGAGCATAGCAGCTCCAAGAACCTGAGATCTACAGGCGAATAAAATCATTTCCTAATTAACGGAATCCCACTTGTTCATCTGTTTTCCTGTTTGAGGTACGAGAACCAGTCAAAAAAAAATGAAAAAGAAGACACATTTGTGGGCTTCAACAGTCAAGGTTTCAGCATGGTGCAACAAAAGATCGTAAGATCTTGCTACTCTACAAAAATGTATAAATTCTGATGGTTTTTTCCATTTAACACATGACAAACGCACGCCGTTTAGCGATCGTGGCACATGGGGTTGTGAACATCAATTTACAATATTTTACTATGCTTCATCATACAAACATATTGGTACCAGCACTCGGAAATGTTTGGAAGCGCAATGGGAAATTCATTTGTTAGAAAAAGGAAACCTAGATTGTGTCTATCCCCGTATTTTTTTTTTCACACACACGTTCCATACATCAACCATGATTCATCATAGAGATTAGCACTGAAACAGCAGTGAATTGCCAGTCAAATTACAGATTAATGAACTCATTCGTGGAAAAACCTTTTGTATATTTCTAAGTACGGTATAGAGCTTTTCCCGACCAGTGCTAGGCACAACGTTTGTATTGGATAAGCTATAGATTGATTGCAATAAGTTTCGCCAAGGTATCCTACTCATCAAAATAAGCCATCGGAAAGAGATTAACTTATATACAGGTAGCGGGCACTTTCAGCGCAGCGTATGGGTGTATACGTCTATATCGTTCGTTTCATGTTAATGAAGTTCAATATGAGCTGAGATATGTTGATTTAAAGTTTAGAATAGTCATTATTTCCATACTGAATACGTTGAATTAAATGCACTTCATGTGTTATGTATTAATAATTTTAGAGTCCATGCATCTCTTACTGAAACCTGGATGCGCACCTTCACAATCAGAAAGTCCTTTCATTCCCAACTTAAGCGTGTGCTTCTGGAACTTGACTGTTTTTGCGTCATTTTCAAAGTAAACTATGTTGAATTCTAAGAAAATTCATTATGAAGATATTACAAATTCCTATAAGTTTACGAAATTTCATCCTCTACGAATGCGAGAGCCACGGATCTTCTTCATTGATGGTTCCCCACCAGTCAGTCGCGAGACTACGTAACGCGCTCCCAGATGGCGGGTAGGGGTTTAATCGTGGAGCAAAAGCGGCCTTTGCTTCCATGAAACGCAGGTGGATCCAGTGGACGGACTTCCTGCTTTTGCTCCGCCAGTTTGCCACATACCTTCCGTGCTTACGAAGACGCATTCATGCATGCGTGCGTGGGTGTTTTCTCGTTCATACGGATTATATTCTACGAGGCAGTTTGGCGAAAAAACCGCAATCTGGAAAGTATATGAGTGGCCGTTAAGAGTAGCTTCAAGCAAATAAGCTCGCCGTCAACTCTAGGAGACACCGACAAGCCATCTGTGGGCTTAGTCAGTCTCCACGTTCAGAGCTCAGCAAGCTATACGTGCGTATCAAGCGCTAAACACTACGACAAGTTGGCTTTATTCCTCTGACTCCAAAACACCCCGACATGGTATCGATGATAAACAAGGACGAGTACAGAAAAGGTGCTACGATCTCAGGGCCATTTTAGACTACCTAGATAGCAAAGGACTAAGGTGACGATCTCTGCTTATAACGTAAGCTTACTTGCTTCTAAGTCCACAATAAAAAAGTTGGTCATGCAGGCATGAAGGATAAGGTACGATGTCATCGGACGGGCCGAAACAAGAAGATGCCGCCCATTTAACCCCGTTTATGACAAAAGAGAACTTTTCCTCAAAACAGATAATAGAGGAGCCGGTGGCGTCGGCCTTATCATCATCACGAGTTAGGTCATGAACATCGATTCATTCGAGCAGTTAATAACCCGGATCGGGGGGGCGTTTGTGGTGGAATAGATGTGGATCAATACTGGCTCTGACAATCTTCGTCCTCTACACACCGACATCAAGCTACGACAAAGACGAAGTCGAAACTTCTACATGGACTTGAGGAAGTTCTACAAAGAGCCCACACGTTTTTCGAGGTCATCATTGGAAACTTTAAGGCTGTTATTAGAACCAGAAGAACGTCACATTGGGAACCACGGATTAGAATGGAACGAGCAGAGTGAGTGGCTGTCCGAGTTTATCATGAAGACCAAGGGAATGGTCATGGTAACTCGCAATTTTAAAGGGCACACTCTCAACGTTGGACGTGGTACTTCCAATGGGAGTAACATAAGTAAATCCACCACATCTAGTAAATTGAAGGTTTCCACACGCGGCCAGACTGTCGCCTTCTTCATGGAAAATTTCATCTCTTATGGAGAAGTGCTCCTAAGTTCGAAAAACGAAGTCTCAAAACCACCATTAACCAGGATTTATTTAGTTCATTAGTCGGCTCTTAGGAGGATACTTTAATTGATAACATCGACGAGTAATACAGTCGGCTCATTCAACATCTTCACACTAGGGCTATGAAAACTGAGAGCTTGGAAGTCTAAACAGATGTCTCTCTACTGGAACGCTCGAGCTAGTACCCCAACTTGGAATAGTATGAGCCCTATGTGAGCATCGAATTACGTCCGAACTTGCAAAGCGCTGCAGACTGGCGTGAAAAGAAGACCTCATGGAGAAAAAAGCAGCATTAATGACTGCAGTAGTTAGGAAGATCATTCATAACACCCGCGGAAACTTCAACAACACCCGAGCAGGATGAATGACCACACCCCGGTGCAATACTTATAACTTCGAGAAAAGCAAAAATCGTCTACATCTACTACTTTGATCTCTTCGATAGGCACGTCCTTCAGCCCTCATGTGAAATAGAAGAAGATAGATATGTTGTACCTTTTCTTCTTTCCAAAATCCGACATACTATTTCGTTAATGAAAAGT